AGCTGATAAGAAGAAAGGGCATAGGTACAAGAGCATCCCTTGGTTGGTTGATGAATGATGGAGGGGATTGTAACTATGGCAACGATAGGATGAATGTAATACTAATGTTCTCCCATGTAAACTATCACATAATTCACAAGAAAACATTTAAAAAAAAAGCTGAGACTCCAACAGAGCCCGGAACTCCCTGTGCATCCCTGGGGACAGGGGAGCATGATGGCTCTTTCCCCGCCCCCCCACATTCTGCCTGGCTCCAGGAGGAGTGAGTTGACCTCATAGACCCCTCGGACATGCTGTCCATGCCATCCACAAGGAGGTCACCAGCACAGGGCCCTGGATCTGGGAGGAGAAGGAGAAGGGGAGGGGGAGGGGAAGGGAGAGAGGGAGAGGAGACGTGGAGAGCTCCCTTGAGGTGCCCAAGAGCCATATGAGGCCCCACATTGGCAGTTGTGGCCCTGATCCCTTTTCCTGATGCCACTTCCCTTCTCTAAGATGCATCCATGAACTCAGTTCCTTCAACAGCAAGAGATCAGCAAGGTGTGTGTGGAAGACGCACCAGCTGTTGCCTAACATGGCAGTTTACAATGCCACCTAGAGCAAGGACTGAAGACCCAAGCAGCTAGGTCCTGGAGGTGTCTCGAGAAATGAATAGATTAAATAAAAGCTCACCACCCATAGCAGAGTGCTTATGAGTCGGGTTGCTAACTTCAAGGTGAGCAGTTCGTAACTACCAGCGGCTCTACATGAAAAAGATGAGGCTTTCTGATCCCATAAAGATTTACAGCCTCGGACACCCTATGCAGGGTTGCTATGAGTCGGAACTGACTCCATGGCACAGAACCACCACCACCCACAATACGTAGAGTGGTGGTGTGGTGCTGTAGTATAAGCACTTGATAGCAAGGTCTGTTTGAACCACAAGGTCAGAAGTTCAAACTCACCAGCCGCTCTTCAGAAGCGCTTACAAGGTCGCTACGGGTCGGAACCGACTTGACAAAACTTAACAACAATCTACAATCTATGGACTTCTGGTGTGGCACTGTAGGATCAGCACTGGACTTTAAACCACAAGGTTGGTAGTTCAAAGCCACCAGCTGCTCCTCAGAAACCCTATACAGGGTCACTGTAAGTTGGAACCGACTCAACAGCATTTAACAGCCACCACCCAGAACACACAGACACAGGGCCAATAAAAATAGATTTTATGTTTTTCTTTTAACACTAATGTTATGTCGATATTAAACTTACAGGGAAATCCAAATAGGCTCAGATACCAGACCAGCTTTGGTTAGACCAATGAAAGGCACTGAGAGTGACCGTAACACATTTACCATTCATAATTTATAAACGCGACCAATGGCAACACAACAAACCACATCTTCCATGTGAGTGGCAATCAACCCCATGACTCACGACACTTTCATATCAGCTTCTTGTTGTTGTTGTTGTTAAGTGCCGTTGAGTCGGTTCCAACCCATAACAACCTTGTATAGGGTTTCTAAGGAGTGGCTGGTGAGCTTGAACCGCTGACCTTACAGATCAAACTGACTGCAGTGCAGCGCATTAGCCCCCAGCACCACAGCACGACTCCTAGCAGCCTAAACGTTATCAAGTCCACAATCGACTGGACCACGAGGCATGAGCGCTGACACCACATGGGGGGACCAGGCTGCACACCCTGAGGAACCAGGGCCTACCATGAGAGACCACTCTTTGACCTTCTGGAAGATCACTCTGCGCCCCTGCGGCGTCCATGCCACCAGCACTGTCACCGCCCGGATGGTCAGCCAGCAGACGTAGAGGCCACAGGCGGCCGTGTAGAGCTCGTGAATCTTGGCAGTCCCCGTCCAGAATGACATCAGCCACCGGCCAGCAAACACTGAAAGCAGAAAGGCTGCCGTTTGAACACGAATCAAAAGCATGGTGCACAAGGCAGGTACACACAGTGAGCCCAGTTCCTAGTACGTGTGCTGTCTACACTGCTAAAGTTCAGGAGCAACATGGATAATGCAGAGGAATGGCCTTCGAATCGGCTTGTTTATCTGGGCAAATGAGTGAGTTCCAATAAGGCTATTTGACAACAGCCTGTAAACCCACTGATCATGTGAACACAACAGAACCACCAGAGCACCTTGTAGAAATGGTTAGGAACGTTTGCACTCCAGGTTTTACAAATGAATGGCCACTTTCTACTCACTCTCCACACACTACTGACAAAAAGGGTTACTTCTAAGAGGATTTATTTGATTTTCATTTGTAATGAAGAATGCTAGTTAAAGGCGGCCCTGTATAGAGTTTCTGAGTGGCTGGTGGGTTTGAACTTACGACTTTTCAGCTAGCAAACCAGTGCTTATCCCATAGCCTACACCAGGACTCCAGTTAAATTGTAAGGATGGAAAAAGGGCCTCTGGCAGAGGAGGTAGGGAATCTTCTCAGCCCTGTAGTGTGTTGTTCTTGTGTGCCAGCCAGTTGGTTCCAACGCGGAGTGACCCCCGAGGCGCACTTGCTGGGTGTTCGGGTGTCCAGCCCAGTGCTGACCCCCAGCGCCACATTGCAGTGTGCACGGACAGCGGTACTGCACAACTGGACTCTCCACTAGACGGCGGCAGGGTTCAGGCAGCCAGTCTTAGTTAACATGTAAAGAAGTTACTCTTACTGTCAAATTCAAGTTCTAAATCCAAGTCTCCTTTCCTTAATTTTTCTAATCAAAATATAAAAATGGATGATTACAACCACCACTGTAATTATGAAACCTTCCAAAGTACAAAAACTTGGTTTTCTGCAATATGATTACTACACTACCCTCAATGTATTTATTGGGCTTTATTGTCTTAACAGCTGTGATTTGAAAACTGTAGAGTTCAAGAACAAAAATAGAGTAAACATTTTTTACGGTTATTTTTGCCAGTGTAAGGTGAAATCATCATTTCTCTGGGTCTGAAATGCTCTATCTTCTCAGAAACTTCACTTGAAATGAAATAGCCTACTTGCTCCTTCCCAGCCTTAGTCCACACAGGGAAAAAACAGACTGAAGACAAATGTGGTTTATCCGAGTGAACAGTCTGAGGAACGCTCCCAGCTGCCACACAACCTGTGACTCCACAATCTCTTGCTGCTGCCATCGGTCACTATCACCTTGACTTCCTCCTCCCACCTCTGGACAGACAACAAACCACCACACCCAGACACGCCTCTTGGTGGCTAGGTGAAGATGTTTCTGAAAACTTAATGTCACAAGTGTTCCTGCGGGAAAGAGCCCCTGGCAGCCATCTAGAATGACTCCCTCCGAAAGCCAGCTCCGTAATGAGGACAAACATAAATAAGGGGGCAGTGGGAAAGCCACTCCAGCAGGACAAGCTCTGTGAAAATGTCCAAACATGAACTCTGACTTACAGCTGGCTTCTGTCTCTCCACTCTGACGTCAGTACATGAGACCAATGAAATGGGAGCCCCAAACATCCCATATTCAGTCAAAAGGGGAAAGGAAAATGATTACGGATACATGAGGAAGACCTATGGATTATAGGAGAAGGTCTCAGCTGAGAGTGGCCGGCTCCTACCTGGTAGAGTAAGGCAGATGAGGCTGGCGGTCAGCAAGGTGATGCACATGAATACAATCAACAGGGATATCTGTAAGGCAAACACAGGGCAGCGGCTGCTTACACTCTGGGTATGTTTCAGTGCACACGCCATGCAGAATACCAAAGCTATTTTCTCATTAAAACAAAAACCAACCCTGTTTCTCCGTTCCCAGCTAGACCTGCTTGTCACAGGTTGCTGTTAGGTACCATCATGTCTGTTGCGCCCCTATCTATGCACAACAGAACAAAACATGGCTTGGTCTTGTGCCATGCTCAAAATCGTTAAGTCTGAGCTCATTGCTGCCTCCACTGTGCCTATCCATCTTGTTGGGGGAGGGGGGGTCTCCTCCTTTTTGTTGATCCTCCACCTCAACAAGGATGATGTCCTTCTCCAGAGATGGGCCTTTCTTGATATCATGATCTAAGTATATGAGACCAAGTCTTGCCATGTTCACTTCTGAGAAGCATTCTGACTGAACTTCAGCCAAGACAGATTTATTACTTCTGTAGTCCACAGTACTGCCATTATTCTTCGCCAACATCAGAATTCAAATGCATCGATTCTTCTATGGTCTTCCTTACGCACTGTCCACCTTTCACATATATACATGGCGTGGGTCAGGTGTACCTAATCCTCAAACTGACATTTTTGCTCTTGAACACTTTAAATAGGTCTTGGGCAACAGAAAAGGCAAAATCTCGTTTGATTTTTTTAAACTGTTGCTTCCATGAGGGTCTTGAGTCAGAAAACCAAAAGGGAAGAACACGCTCAGCATTTCTTAAACTGAGGAAATTGATGAAAAAATTTAAGCCTCAACTTGCAATACTGAAGGATTCTATGGGCAAAATGGGAGTCCTGGTGTAATGCTGTGGGATAAAGCACTGGACTGCAAGGTCAGTTTGAACAACAAGGTTGGTAGTTCAAACTTACCAAACTGCTCCTTGGAAACCCCACACAGGTGGCTATGAGTTGGAGCCGGCTCAACAGGACTTAACAAATGGGCACAATATTGAATGATCAAAAGAAGATGGAAGGAATACACAGAGTCACTGGACCAAAAGGAAATAGTCATGTTTAACCATTTCAAGAGGTAGCATATGATCAAGAATCAATGATACTGAAGGAAGAAGTCCAAGGTGCACCAAAGGCATTGGCAAAGAACAAGGCACTGGGAATTGATGGACTACAAACTGAAAGTTTTCCATAAAGGGATGCGGCACTCGAGGCACTCACTCATCTCTGCCAAGAAAGTCAGAAAACAGCTACCTAGCCAACTGATTGGAAGAGATCATATCTGTCTGTGACCATTCCAAAGAGAGGTGACCCAACAGAATGTGGAAATCATCGGGCAATATCATTAATATTACATGCCAATAAAATGTTGCTGAAGATAATTACAAAACAACCGCAACATTGACAGGGAACTGTCAGAGGTTCAGGCCAGATTTAGATGAGGATGTGGAATGAGGGCCATCACTGCTGACATCAGATGAATCTTGGCTAGAAGCAGACAAGACCCCAAAGATGTTTACCTGTGCTTTATTGACTACGCAAACGCTTTTGATTGTATGGATCATGACAAGTTGTGGACAATTTGTGGAGAATGATTGTTCTGGAACAACTTAATTGTGCTCATGAGGTAGGTACCTGTACATAGAGGAAAAAGCAGTTGTTCAAACAGCACAAGGAAACACTAAAGGGCTTAAAATTCAAAAAGGTATGCACCAGGGTTGTATGTTTTCACCAAACTTATTCAACCTGTATGTTAACAAATAATTCGAGAAGCTGGATTATATGAAGAGGAATGTTGCATCCGGTTGGCAGAAGACTCATTAACAACCTGTGATATGCAGATGATACAACCTTGTTTGCTGAAAGCAAAGAGGACTTAAATACTTACTAAATACTTACTGATGAAGATCAAGCACCACAGACTTCAGTATGGATTGCACCTCAATGAAAAGAAAACAAAAAAAACCTCACAGCTGGACCAATAAATAACATCAAGATAAATGGAGAAAAGACTGAAATTGTCAAAGACTTCATTTTACTTGGATCAACCATCAACACTCATGGAAGCAGTAATCAAGAAATCAAACAACTTATTGCAGTAGGCAAATCTACTGCACAAGACCTCTTTAAAGTGTTCAAGAGCAGAGATAAGAGTTTGAGGACTAAGGTGCCTGACCCAAGTCACGGTATTTTCAATAACGTCATATGCATGTGAAAGTTGAACAATGAATAAATAAGACCACAGAAAAATTGATGCTTTTGAGTTATGGTGTTGGAGGAGAATATTCAAAGTGCCACGGGCTGCCAAAAAACAAAAAAATCTATGTTGTAAGAAATACATTCAGAATGTTCCTTAGAAGTCAGGATGGCCAGACTTTGTGTCTCAGACTTCAGACGTACTATCAGAAGGGACCAGTCCCTGAAGGACATCATGCTTGGTAAAGTGGAGGGTCAGCGAAAACAATTAAGACCCCAATGAGATGGACTGCCACAGTAGCAGCAGCAGTGGGCTCAAGTGTGGCAACCAGGACCAGGCAGTGTTTCATCCTGTTGTGCCAATGGGTGGTTATGAATCGGTAGCGACTGGACGGCACCTCACAACAACGCAGCAAAATACATTCTTCCACGACTTCAACATTTTGTCTGCTTATCACAAATTTATTTATTGGTCCAGTGGTAAGGATTTCTTTTTTTTTACACTGAGGTGCAATTCATACAGAAGGGTTTGATTTTCATCAGTTAAGTATTTTTCGTCCTCATCACTTTCAGCCTGCAAGGTTGTGTCATCAAATCGTTAATGAGTCTTCCTCCAATATTCATGCCATGTTCTTCATATAATCCAGCTTCACAGATTATTTGCTCAACATACAGATTCAATAAATATGGTGAAAGGAAACAACCCTGGCACATAGCTTTCCTGATTTTATACCATTCAGTATCCCTTTGTTCTGTTCTAAGGGCTGCCTCTTTATCTACGTACAAGTTCCTTAGGAACACAATTAAGTGTTCTGGAATACCTATTATTTGCCATATAATCCATAGCTAGCCATGATCCACACAGTCCAATGTCTTTGTATAGTTAATAAAGCACAAGTAAACTTTTTTCTGGTATTTTCTTCTTTTAGCCAAGATTCATCTGATGTCAGCAATGATATCCCTTCATTCATTCTATGTCCTTTAATGAGTCTGGTTTGAATTCCTGGTAGCTCCCTGTCAATGTACAGCTCTAAATGGTTTTGAATTATCTTCAGCAACATTTTATGTACACGTGACATTGTTAAATGATTTTCATAAAGGTTTGTATCACCTTTCTTTGAAATGGGCCTAAGTATGGCTCTCTTCTAATCGGTTGACCAAGTAGCTGTCTTCCAAATTTCTCGGCCCAGGTAAGTGAGTGTGTCCTGCAGTACATCAGTCTGTTGAAACATTTCAATTTGTAGCCCATCAATTCATGGACTTTTATTTTTTTTGCCAATGCCTTCAGTGCAGCTTGGTCTTGCTCCTTCAGTAACATTGGTTCTTGATCTTGCACTGATTGAAAATCGGTCATTCCTTTTTGGTACAATGAGTCTGTGTATTCCTTCCATCTAATTTTGATGTTCTTTGAATCATTTCATATTTTGCCCATGGAATCCTTTAATATTGAAAGTCGAGAATTGAATTTTTTCTTTGAGCTTGAGAAATGCTGAGCATGTTCTTTTTGGTTTTCTAATTCCAGATCTTTGCACATTTCTTTATAAGATTTGACTGTTTTCTCGAGCTGCCCTTTGAAATTTTCAGTCCAGCTTGTTATCATTTTATTTCTTCCAGTCACATCAGCTTCTGAAGAGAAAGTTTCAGTCTCTTTTAGCATTTTTTTTTTTTTTAACTTCCTGAGTTTTAATGATTTCTTTACTTTCTTCCTATATGATGTTTTTGATGTCACACTACAACTCTCGGTCATCAGTGTCTACTGCATCAAATTTGTTCTTGAGACTGTCCCTAAATTCAGGTGGGATATATTCAAGGTCATATTTTGGCTCTTGTGGACTTGTTTTTGTCAAATGCTGCTGAGTCGGTTCTGACTCATAGTGACCCCATATATGGTTTTGGAGGAATATAATGAACTTTTATGCTATTGAAAAAAGGTATTTGCAATGAATAAATCTTTCAGACTGCAAATTCGACTGAATTGCAGTCAGTGGTTCAAGCTCACCAGCTGCTCCTTGGAAACCCTATACAGGGTCGCTATGGGTTAGGATCAACTCAACAGCACTTAACAACAATGTAAAATTCTCCAGTATCATTTCTGTCACAAAAGTCATATTTTCCAACTACTGATCCTTCCTTTTTGTTTCCAAATTTCAATTTCCAGTCACCAGGATTCATCAATGCATCTTGATTGCATGCTTGATCAATTTCAGACTGAAGAAGCTGGTAGAATTCTTTAGTTTAATCATTAAATGGTTTAGTAGCTGGTGTATAAATTTGAGTAACAGTGGTATTAACTGGTCTTCCTTGTAGATGTTTGGATATTATCCTATCACAGATAGCATTGTACTTCAATACAGATCTTGATCCTTTTTCCTTTCTGATACTTATGTAAACTTTTTATTGTAAATTGAATGAAGGTTTACAGAGCAAATCAGTTTTACATTCAATAAACATACTTTTGTCATTAGAATGACTGCAACCCCCTCCAGGCAGCCTTACTTAACAATATTTCCCTTTATTCATGTGAACTCTTGCATTCCTTCCTGCTGCTACTTCTTTCTTCTGTCAACCTCCCTTTTATTAGATATTGCCTGCTTCATCATCCATGTTAACCCACGAATAATCTTCCCTCCTCCCATGAACCATCATTTGTTGTTGTTGTTCTGTGCCATGGAGTTAGTTCCAACTTACAGAGACCCTGTACAGGGTTTCCGAAGCTGTAAATCTTTATAGGAGCAGAAAGCCTTATCTTTCTCCCGCGGAACAGCTGGGAGTTTTTAACTGCTGACCGTGAGATTAACAGCCCATTTCATAACTACTCTGCTACCAGAGCTCCTTATTAATCATCATAGAATGTTCCTTTTATCAACAAAACCTTCTGTTGATTCTTTTACAACAGTGGTTTCATGCAATATTTGTCCTTTTGTGATTGACTCATTTCACTCAGCATAACACCTTCCAGGCTCATCCATATTGTGGGGTGTTCTGCAGATTCATCATTATTCGTTAAAGTTGCACAGAATTCAATAGTGTGTATGTACCAATTTTTGTTTATTCTTCCGCTGACGGGCATTGATGTGTCTTTTGTGTAGACAGCAAATTGAAGCATTGTTTTCTGATCCGTTCTGCTACTGTCTCTTGATGGGTACATTTACTCCATTAACATCCAGTATATAATTATCGATAGATACGAAGTGACTGCTGTCATCTTACTGCATTTTCTTGTAGTGCTATTGCTTTGTCGCATGATTTTGTATGCTGAGTTCATTTTCCTTGCGGATCTTCTTTTCATCTTAATTTCTACTGTGTTAACTAAATCTTTCTGGTTTATTTCATTTTTAGTTTGATGTGAAGGTGTATTAATTTTCTGAGGTTACTCTACAATTTATTAATTTTTTCCCCGTTTAAAACAGTGTGTTTTATCTTGAAATCTATTTGACTTCCTCGACATTTGGAAATTCTGTATCTACACTAGTCGCTCTTTTTACTTTGTTATTATTGTTCTTGTCAATTCCGACCCATAGCGACCCTGTACAGGGTTTCCAAGGAGCAGCTGGGGAGCTTGAACTGCCAACTTTGCAGTGGATGCTCTAGCCCACAGCGCCTTGTCCTGCACCAATCTCACAATCGTTGTTACGCTGGCGTCCGTTGCTGCTGCTGCCACTGTGCCAGTCCATCTCATTGGGGGTCTTCCTCTTTTTCGCAGACCCTCTGCTTTACTAAGCATAGTATTCTTCTCCAGGGACTGGTCCCTCCTGACAATATGTCCCAAGTATGAGAGACGAAGTCTGGCCATCCTGGCTTCCAAGGAGCACTCTGGCTGCACTTCTTCCAACTGAGATTGGTTTGTTCAACTGTGTTCTTAAGGAAATATTGCCCTTTTGATTTTGAATGACTGATTGTTTCATCTCATTCAACACTTTGCTAGTGTTGCTGTCTCCACTACATACCTATCTACTGCTTGGCTAAAAGTTGGGTCACGTGAGTGAGTCCCTTTACAGACCTGAAGTGTGGTTGAGGGCCACTGTCTCAAGTTCCTTTAGTCTCTTTCTGACCAGCAAGCCTTTTTTAGAAAGAATTTTGAGTTTTGTTCCATATAGTCTGCTGCTCTAGCCTGGACCTTCTAATGTAACCCCTTTTAGGGCAGCTGGTGGTGGTAGCCAGGTGCCATCCAGGTGCCACCCGAGTACCATCTAGGCTTTCTAGTCTCAGAGTCATGGAAACCCATTGCCATCTTACCTCCATGGTTTCTGCTGAGAAATTGGATCTTAAGTCTTACTGGTTCTCTCTTACAAGTAACCTTTTGTTTTTCCCGAACTGCTCTCAGGATTTGTTTCTTGTCTTTGGTGTTGGAAAGTTTGACTATTCGTTTTGGTGATTTTCTTTTGGGATCTATCCTGTTTTGGGTTTACTCAGCTTCTTGTACGCTTATCTTCTTGTCTTTCATGATGTTCAGGAAGTTTGTCTTATAACTCTTCGACAGTTTTCTCTGAGATTTTATTGTCTCTTCCCGCTAGGGGATTCTGATCACCTATTAAGCTGGTCCTCTTCATGGTACCCCACGTAACTCTTAAGCTTTCTTTGGATTTTTTCATTCTTTTTAAAGATGCTGTTGCTGTGCGGTGCCATCGGTGACGGGCTTCTACAACCAGCCCAGTACGTACCCTGCAGTATACGAGTGTTGGAAGATTTATCTTGACGCTCACTGATTTGGGCTTCCATTGCTTGCATCTTTTCCTTTGTCCTTTCAATGTGGTTTCCATTTCTGAGATGTCAGTATTAGTTTTCTGGATTTCTAGTTGAGCAGGTGTGGTAGTTTTACAGTTTGCATTTATTTTGTCTATTTGTTCTTGTAGTGTTTCCTAAAATATTTTTTCTGTGTTCTTCTTGCTTTTCTCTTTTCTGTAAATCTTTTGGAGGTACCTACATACCATTATTTTGAAACATTTTCTGGCTCTGCAGCTTGGTCATTTGTTAGAGCCATTCTCTTGTTTCTTCATGTGAGCTAAAATTGTCATCTCTGCAACAATGTGGTGTTACCGTATTTGTATTTAATTGATGAATTCTTAGGCTCTCATCAACTGTCTCCTGTGGGTGTAATTAGAGAATGGAAGAGTGTGCATTATTCTCAGTTTGCCTTTGTGCAGTTTAGGGGAGGTTGAGTCTTCTTGATAAGCAGTATAGGAGCTGGTACTGGTTCTTGCCCAGTGGGTGAGAGTATGCTTGTGGCTGGGCTATATGGGCTCAACTGCTGTCTACTATCAGGTTGGGAAGAGAAGAAATACCCCCGCCATACACACAGGCACATACGTGCTAGAGAACAAAACAGAATAAACAAGCCACCAGCAATGGAAAGAGAAATAAAGGAGAAAAAAAGAAAACCAAACAGCAATCAGAATAAAAGAATATAATAACTAAAAAGAGACAGAGGGACCAGAAAATGGAAAATAAGAGAGAAGAGCAAAAGGAAGAAATATACATAACACTTAGAAAAAGCAGGGAGAGGGATGATGGAAAGAGAGACAGTATAGAAAGATCAAAGGGAACAAAAACAAGAAAAGGGAAATGAGACGGAAGAAAAGAAAGAAACAATGGAGACAGAAAGGATACAATTTAAGGGAATGGAAAACGAAGAAGAAGAAACAGATAAAAACAATGAAATGATGAAAGGAAAAACAAAAACAAAAACAAAAAACAACCAAACTCGGTGCAGCTGCTGAATCCAGAGAGAAAGTCTTGCTGGCCAAGGAGCTCCTGAGATGGGTGCGGGAGGGACGTGACAGCGGAGTTGTTCCTGGCCCTCGCTGCAGTTCCTGGTCAGTGGAGTTCACGGAGGCCTTGGATGGAGCTGGTTGTAGAGACTGTTGGGACTACAGCTGGGGGTAGGGTGACTGGTTAAAGGCTGCTCTTGAGAGGAGCCTGCCTGAACCCTGCCACCAAAGCGGTGAAGCCAGGCCCTGGTTCATACTGGGGTGGTTCACAACCATGTGGCTCTGAATGCTCGGAGACGAGGCTCTATTCTTGGGATGGATCAGGGTGGGAGCTGGACACGCCTCTGGTCACCCACAGAGTGTGGGGAAAGATGGGCATCGATTTTTGTGCACTCCATGTCATTTCTGAAAGCTTCCAATGTTCCTCGATGCATACTTTGTACATTCTATTAATAATCAGAATGAACAGTTTAGTCCATTTATGTCATCCTGCTCATCTCTCTTCCCCAGCGGCATCGTGTGTGCCTGCCCACCTGAAGCACTATAGCTGACAAAGTCCCATGGCTCATCTTCAGGTTCTCAATGGCTGACCATTCGGCAGTGGTCTGCTCCTCTTCTCCACAGTCTGTCTGAGTCGGAATGCTCTGTTAAAAGCTGTCCACGTGGGTAACTCTGCATACTGCTGGGAGAGCTTTCCGCATCACACCAACCACCCCAGTGTAAGAAACAAGAGATGAGTGATGATGATGTAAAGATGAGGTATGTAAACAAGGTGCAGGAAACTCTTCATAGGGGAGTTCTGCCATCCTGCCATGCTTAAAAGGAGCCACAACCAGAGGGTGATGGCTGTCACTGCCGCCAAGAAGAAGAGCCGGGAGCGGAGCATGTGCCTTGGAGTGGGCGTGCTGAGAGCCTTCCTTCAGACAGGAAGCTTCCTAAGGGAGTGAAGCCCTTCTGGGCTACAGAGCTGTAGCCACCTGGCCAAGCAAGGCTCAGACTGAAAACTGAGCAAGGCCTTCCAGCAGAGCAGGGGGCAGCTGGCTGGGGGGAGGGACGGCTGCCGGTAGAGCTCGAGTGCAGAGATGTGCCTGACCTCTGCTCACAGCACAAAGCATCATGAGAGGGTGGGACCACATAACAGATGAGGGCCAGCTGAAGGAGCCTGTGTGTCCCTCAGGCAGGGTCTGGGGGAGGCTCGATGGGCAATAAGGGCACCCTCTCCTGGTCTACCCTGCAGAGGCCGGGTTCTCACGTGGGCTGGGGTCTTTCATGTCACTCTGATAGAGCAGGAGCAAGAGGGCCCAGACCACTGTCGCGTGTGCCAGCTTGTGGCTGTGTCTGTCACGTGAGGAGGGTACACAACAGGGACTCCTGTCAGGCAGGTGTGCACCCTGTCCACGCTGCCTCAGTGGGACAGACAGACCTACCCTGAGTGGGAAGTTGAGCGGCCGGCGGTAGGGCTGGAAGCCAACAGGGCCTCCCTGCTGCAGGATGGCCTGGTGGGCGGCGTGCAGACCCTCCCCCACCACCGGGAGGGCGTTGTTGCGAGCCGGCTGGTTGTTGTTCACCTGCTGGTTGGCACTGTTCTCACTCTCCTCCTGGTCTCCCAGCAGGTAAGAGTGCAGGTCCCTGCAAGAGAGCACACAAGAGAGAACCCTCAGGTAGGGTCCGGATGGAAGGGGAACATGTGCCTCAGTTTCCTAGGAATTACAATCAAGGGCCAACAATGTACGTGTAAAATCTATACAGAGTACAGTGCCTCAGCCCAGGGTAAACAGTTCAAGCCAACAGCGGTCTCCCGTATCTGATTGTTTCTGCGTCTGAGAGAAGATCACTATGAGAAAAGGCCCATGTACAAGATGGGTCTTCTCCTCTCTGCAGACGCAGTCACAGACTTGTCAGGGGGGGAGTGGGAGACAGATGTGGAAAAGAAAAACACCGACTCCACAAGACCCTATATGTTCTGGAAAACTCTTCAACCACAAAGATTCAGCGTGGAAACAAGTACATCATGTAGAGCGCTTGGAAAGTCCGTGAGTGCACAGGTGAAGTGGTTGCGAAGCCCACTGGGGAGCAGCCCTGTTGGCAAGTTGGGAAGTGTGGAGAAGGGAGAAGTTGGTGCTCTTTCATCCTGGGCCTGCTGGCACAAACCTCTCTGACAAGGTAAATACAGGCAGGCTTCCTTAGCCACCCCCAGAGCCCCTGGTGTGCATGGCCAAAGTGGGCACACTTACAGCGAGTGCCCGGCGGCCACCGTCCAGGCCCGCACCAGTCCCTTCAGCCACTGGCGCGTGTGGCCTTGCTCCAGCAGTGCGGGCAGGATCACCTGCAGCAACAGCAACTCCAGTGACAGCTCGCTGACAGGGGCGTCACTAGGACCAGACACACGTGTGACCCTCGGTTCTCCCTCCTCCCAGACCCGTGAGAAAAGCAGTCGTCTCATGCACATGCTCCTGTCACCGCGCAGCGAGGCCGTCCTGCTGGGAGGCACACCTGTACAGCATGACGTTGTAGGGCAGGAAGCTGGGCAGCAGACTCTTGATGATCCGGATGGGCAGCCAGAGCATCAGGAGGACAATGGAGCCGAAGACAATCTGTAGGGGAGGCTGGGCATGAGAGGGGCATCCGCAGTCCCCGTCTGAACACCACCCAGCCCTTCTCCCACACACAGTACAGTCCCTCCTGGTAAAAAATGGTTTCCTAGACACCTGTAAGGCCTTGCTATGCCTACCGCTCACCGCTGCCCAGGGAAAAGCAGGAGCTCCTGGTTTAGCTCCTGGATAGCCCCACCTGGTGGGGGATAGGGGGAAGGCAGCGGCCCTGCGGCCCTCTGGAGGTGTACTGTGGGGACAGACTTAGTTCCTCCAGGCAGAGTTCACTGAGAGGACAGTAACAACAGCTTTCATTATCCTGCCAGCTCAATCCTGCCAGCTCACTAGGCAGTCACTTACATGACCAGAGAAGGAAGACACTGTTGTTTCATTAACCAGCAAATATTTACCCGGACAACACAGCCAGTAGACCTGTTAACAGACAAGCAGGCTCCCCAACCCAAACCACCATCACCCAGTGGGTGCTGACTCAGTGACCCTATTGGGCAGATTACAACTGCTCCTTACGGTTTCCATCTAGACTGTCAATATTTAGAGCAACATGGGGCCTCATCGTCTGCCCACGCACCGCCCGCCTGGTGGTCGGCGGCCTCATCGTCCTCCCATGCACTGCCCGATTGTCCTTCTTCTCAGCTCGTCCCCTAAGTGTGGTGAGAGCCGCACCTTGAGACCAGCGTGCTTGATGGAAAGAGCAACAGGCCGGCTTACCACTGACAGAATGAATCTTCGGAGGTGCCTATAAATGGGCAGGTGGATCATTTCCTGAACGGGGTTGAAATCGGGATCATTCAGGTTCCTTAGGAACCACAGGACACCGGGCCGTAGGACCTGCAAGGGCAGCATAGACGTGCTGGTTAAGACACCCACCCAGGTCCTCCGTCTGCGAAGAGTTCACACCGCAATCAGAAAAGTGCTCCCAGGAACATTCGGGCTCCACAAGACCCATGTGGTTTTTCTGGGAAAAGGTGAGTTCCTAAACCAAGACTCCAGAGATCATCCTAGGCTCTGTGACACCCGATGGTTCTAACCATCCCAGGAACAAATCTCCACTGAGCCCGCTTTGCCAAGATTTGTGAGGGAACATCTGAAACCCCCACAACACTGTACCACCCAGTGACAGGCGGCAGCGAGCGGAGAGAGAGGCTGGGTTTCAGTCCCTCACCTCCACAGCAGCCGCCGGAGTGAGGAAAGCTATGGCCACTTAGACCTGCAAAGAGCCAGTGGAGACTCAGTCACTGAGCTGCCTGCAAAACACACCTTCCTCCTTCCCTCTGTGGGCACCACAGTCCAAGAGGTGTGTGGTGGGCACAGGGCTCAAGCCTGGACGCCAGGCCCAGGTGGTCCAAACCCATGCTGCTCTCTCTGCCAAACGAGGGACTGCAATACATGGTCTCTACCATCCATCACCTGGACTATTAACCACAAAACTGGCGGTTCAAACCCACCTGTCGCTCCTCAGAAACCTTACACAGGGCCAGGGTCACTATTAGTGACAAGGGACTAACAGCAGTAACACCACCCCTATCTCTAGCTCCCAGAGCTGGGGCTCCCTACCCCCTGAGCCTGTCTAATGAGAAGGGGAGACCCCACTGCCGCCTGTACTCTGCTGACTTTCCTTGGGGTGTGACTTGCACCAGTCTATACACCCATGGATGCAGTGATGCTCCACCTGCACCCAACCTGCCATCATCTGAACTCTGGGTTTCCCACCAAGGAAAACCAGTACACACATGTTCATTCCCTGCTATTTACAGTTAGAGACACTCTATCACTTAGAAATGAAATCAGAACTCACTTAAAACCACGTGATTGCTTTTGCTGTAGTAACAAAGAGCATCACCACTACTCTGTCAGTTTGTTATTCTGTGGTGGTTTGTGTGGCTGTGATTCTGGAAACTACGTCACCAGGATTTTAAACACCAGCAGGGACACCCATGTTGGACAGGTTTCAGCTGAGCTTTCAGACTATCACAGACTAGAAGAAGGAGAGATTCAGTCACTGAAAAACAAGGTGGCTCTGTAGGAGAAGCTCTGGACTGTGGTTTGGCAGTTCAAAGCCACCAGCTACTCTGCGGAAACCCTAAACAGGGTCACAACCAACTCGATGGCACTAACAACAGTAACAACAAGGAAGACAACTTAATACATTTATTATCCAAATTTATGTTCTTGTTGTTGTTGGTAGGTACCATCAAGTCGGGACCGACTCATAGCGATCCTATGCACAGCAGAACGAAACACTGCCTGATGCTGGGCCAGCGTCACTACTGAAGCCACGCTTGAGTCCATCGATGCTGCCACTTCACCAATCCATCTCGCTGGGGGTCTTCCTCTTTTTCTCTCCACCTTACCAAACATGATATCCTTGTCCAGCGACTGGTCCCTCTGGACAATACGTCTTAAGTATGAGAGATGAAGTTTGGCCATCTTGGTCTCCAAGGAGCACTCTGGCTTCACTTCTTCCAAAACGGATCTATTGGTTCTTTTTGGCAGCCCATGGCACTTTCAATATTCTCC